GATGGTGGGTGGTGGTGGCGGAAGACGGTGGTGGAAATGGTGGCGGGTGGTGACTAGTGTTGGGTGGTAAAAAAAAAAAAAAAAAACTCAAAATGGAAACACATTTTTTGTATTTTCATTTTTTAGCCAAATTTATAAACTGAGAATACTGATTTATAAATTAAAAATTTTACCAAACAAATTTTTTTTTAAAGTTTTTAAAATTTTTGTAAATATAAACAGAAAATTGAAAATGTAAATGTTACCAAACGACACCTAAGAGAGTTGGTTTAGCTTTTATATAAAATAAGAAATATATTATGTGGGAGACCTATAATATAAATATAAAGTATTTGTATACGGTCCGGATCGATCCAACTATGAAATTATAGGGTTCAATTTAAAATTGATTCGTAACTTATGAATTTTTAAATTTTGAATCTAAAATTAAATCATAAATTCAAAAAATCAATCTCAACCTACCGAATTAAATTAAATCATAACAAATTACAAACCATACGAATTTCTTGCTCATTCCTATCAACCGCTGATACTTTTATGTTACTTGAGAGACTTTTGATAAAAAATAAAATAATTTTTTTTTTGGCAAAGGTTAAGGATCATACTCTAATAGTCTAACGTACGCTAGATGCGTAGAATAAATTGGGGACACCTATGCGGCGGGGAGGGAGAGGGAGAGGGAGAGGGAGAGAGTAATGGGTGCGCACTGGGGCACCCTGCGCAGCATATAAAGTATCACCACACACTCGACAAAAAGCTGCTCTCTCTCTTCTGTATATAAAGGAAGGTTCAAAACATAAGTCTCCCATGCCCCTCTCTCCTCCCTCCTTCCCTGAACCCCATTCCCACCACTTTCTTTCTCAAGAAAAAACCACTTCTTACTCTCTCTTAATGATTAGAGGCTAGGGTCCTTCAAATCTCGAATTATTCTTTGAATAAATGGCGGTTAATACAGTGCAGAGGTTCGAGTTTCTCATTGATTCTGATCACCGCAAGTCTAAGCAGCAAAGAAGGTAACATAGACGAAAAGACTTGTTACTTTTTTTTTTCTTTCTCTCGAATTAGGTGCTTCCATCGCTAGTAATCAATTCAATATCAATTCCTTCATTCAAATTCCCGACAAAGAAAGCAATTTTCCAAAATCAGCATGCCAAATTTATTAATCCAGTCGTCGATGTCGTCTGATATACGATAAATTTTGCATTGTTGACGTTTAAAGACACGATTTTCTTGACATTGATGGCGGAATGTTTGAAGGGAGTAGTTGTTCTTGCGTGGATTCTTGGAACTGATTGCATTGGTTTGATGCATTACTTGTGTTGGTGAGCTCTTTCAAGATTTTAGATTGGTGTTTGGGTTAGGGTTTTAGTTTTTGTTGTTGAGTGAGGATGGGGTTGGATAGTCTGCTGCTTCCTACTGTGGGACCGCCAATAAAGCGGCGAGCGGGGTTGCGGAGGAAGCAGGCAGGAAGAGGTTCATATAGAGGTAGCTAGGGTGGGGAATTAGTGGAAATTAGGGGTTTTCACAGGTTTAATTGATTAATCCGGTGGGGAGTGGTTAGGGAGGGGTTGTTAGCATTCGTTGACTGGACGAGATGGGTACTCAATTGCACCAAGCACTCAGGACTCTCTGTTTCAACACCGAGTGGAAGTACGCTGTCTTTTGGAAACTCAAACATCGAGCTCGAATGTAAGTTCTTTTTTCGTTTTTAAAAACATGATTTGGTGCCTCTGCTATTATTTTGTTATAGTGAATTGCATATGCTTAGTTTGTTTAGTGTAATTGATTTTTATTGTTGAAATTTGGTGTTGGGATGGAATATATGTAAATCTAATCTTGATTTTTGGGGATATATTGGCCTGGCTAAGGTTTATAAATTATAGTTATGGAGATGTCTTTAAACAGATATTTTGAATTTGGACTGCCTAAGTGCATCTTAGTGTTATAATGGTTATTGGATTTTAGGATCATTGTTTCGGATGTTTTCCATCTTTTGTATAACTAATTGTTTTTCTTATTTGAATTTTCCAAAAACACTCTGGCATTTTAAGTATGGCTTCAACTGTTTGTCTATCTATAATAATAAAAAAAAGGTCCCACAATATTTGAAAAGCTCAACAATCATTTTGCTAGCTTATAATCCCTATCCTTGAAGAAGGGATACTTGGTTGATGTTGAATATGAACACTTTGTTGATAGACATTCGTGAAGAAATAAAGGATTTTAGCATCTTCTTATTGTTGTTTCTGTTGTAAAAAAATGTTCATTGCGGTGTAAGAATTTTGGGTGAATCAATTTTCTAAGGAAATCTAGTGTGTGGTTCGTCTGATCTATGGCTTTGCACAGCTATTTAGAATAGTAGTTAGTCCTTTACAATCTATAAGAATACTACACATTATATTCGTTGTTTTATGGTGAATGGGACTTCTTGTAGGATGCTGGCTTGGGAAGATGCTTACTACGACAACCATGAGCAACGTAATCCTCCAAAGAACATGTGCTTCCCTGAGATAGGGGGCAACTTGCGTGATTGGCATTCACACGATCCTCTTGGGTTAGCTGTGGCAAAGATGTCGTACCATGTATACTCTCTCGGGGAAGGGTATGAAATCTACCTCAAAACTGATACGCTCTCAGTAATTCAGTTAGAGTTTCAAATGCTGTGTGGGACAATAGTTAGTTTTGACTGTATTTTGTGGTGCGTGGAAAGAGCCCACTGAAACTCATCTTCTTATCTTATTGATATGGGTGCATCATATTACTGTCTCTTCCATTATCTTATCACCCCCCCTTCCGCACTATGCCAACATAGCCATGCAACCTAACCTCATCTTCATTCATGTTTGCCTTAATCCAGCAACTTTTAACTTTTGCCTTGCCTTTGACTTATGCTTGTTGGCTCAACACTTCCCTGTGTGTGCTATTTTAACAACTTCATCTTAGTTCCACGTATTGATTTGTTGAACAGGGTTATTGGACAGGTGGCAGTTACTGGAAAACATATGTGGATTTCTGCAGATAAACACCTAGCTGATTCTTGTTCACCCTTTGAGGTGAGAAATTATTTTGAGTTGTAATGGCTCCATTGATAAACGCAGTTACCCATATGGAACAGACCCCAATTTTTAATATTTCCTACCTTGCCACAATATTTAAATTTAGTTGAGCTTGCCATTTATTCTTATTCCATGATTTTGGTGGCTTGCAGCATTGTGATGGGTGGCAAACTCAGTTTTCAGCTGGGATCAGGGTATGCTTCCTCTCCTTTTTTTTTTTAGAAAATTTACAGTCGCTCTTGTACACTACAAATGCGCTTATGCACGCATACAAGCACACTAGATAAATAATTGGAGATGCTGTCATTGTCAGTAGTTGTGGAGGCTTTTGAATGCACAATGCATTTTTCTACTTGACTATTTTTGGCCTTAATATTGATCTTAATCTCTCTGAGTGTTAAACAATGGTTTTCATTTGGTAGTAGTAGATATATGGGGGATGTAAAATTTTCTAGGCATTTTTCAATAATTTCTTGCCACTAAATGAGTTGCACCATCAGTTAAAAATACTGAGCTTGGTAGATCAAAACCTAGGTACAATGCCCGCTGCAGCTCCTTATCATTCTACTTGGGCTATTATGCTAGTCATATTATCTGTTGGACTTTGGAACAAAGAAATAAAGCTACTCCATTTTGGACCATGTTAATCCCTGAACATTTCTCTCGAAGAATATCAGGAAATCAGTTCTCGGAAACATGTATTCTGGAAACTCTAAAAATATATAGTCTATAGAACTTGGTATTTTCTATCATTTTAGTATCATTGCCTTGAAAACAAAAATCGGAGAATAGAGAACAATATTTTCAGTTTTCTTGAAAATTGCTTTTATATATATATATATGAAATTCCATTTTTGAAGACAATTTCCTGGATTGAATTGTCAATGCCATTATCTTTTCCTGTTACTGCAAGAACAGAAAACTGTTTTTGAAAACTCTGCCAAACATGGCCTGAGAGTCTGTGAAGGCTGAGAGGTTCATATTAAAGGGCAGTTTAGCAATTAACATGAAGAGTATGGACATTTTAATAAAATTTTATATAAATGTTTAAGGGTACAGGCACCATAATCTGACCCTCACCCTCACCCTAATACTAGTTTGTAACAGATTTGATTCTCCTCCCATACCCACCTCTACCAAGATTAAATTGCCTCAACCCCATCCCATTAGGGTTTGGACCATGCGGATTATGTGATTTTTGTTGCTAATTGCCATCCCTATCTTCTATAGAAAAATAAGAACTAGGGTAAAAGTGTGTCTTCTTTCCTAGGATAACATGAAATAGGTTAAAGTTCGGATCTTTGAATCTTACAATTATCTGTATTTGATGTCTACACATTTCAAAAGTTACCATTTAGATTATGGAATTCTGTTTCTCCACATATAGTTTGTTTTGGTCCTCATATCTTCTCATCTCTCAGACAGATTTTTCTGAACAGATCTGTATGTCTTTTGCTTTGCAGACCGTTGTTGTGGTGGCTATTGTTCCACATGGTGTTATACAACTTGGCTCATTAAAAAAAGTAAGTCGATTTCTAAAGCTGGTGTATAGTTAATTCCATTTATGATATTTGTTCCAAGCTTGATCTCCTTAATATACTTTAGCTGCTAATGGTTCTCCATTGATATTATTTATATATATTTTTTTTATTTGAGAATGTGATGCTATTTCCGTTTATTTGGTCTCATGTTTGGTTACATAGTGATTGATAGATTATTAGTTTTCTTTTGACTTTTTATTGATTTATCATCCCTTCTATATTTGTTTTTAAGTTTGTTACTGTGTTATGCATTACAGAGCCAACAGCTAAAAGTAAAGAGAGTATTGCTCATATGTTTCAAAATGTTCAGATAGAAAATTTTCAGATTCTAAATGAAGTTACAATATTTGTGTGTTAGTTAGTATGAGGATTTGAAGCTTAAAATTTCAACTGTGCAGATATTGATTTGTCAAATCTTCCCTTAAGATGGTGAAGTTAGAGCTGATGTGTCTTTTTGTGGAAAGTGAAAAGATGCGTACGATTCCACACGATCACTTCCAAAAGAGTGAATCACCCCTACACCAGTGAAAAAGCTTTTTTCAAATGGACCCATAATTTCCTGAAAAGTAGGTTCATATGCATTTTGTCAGCCCTCTAAGTATTTGGTTGATACTCTTCCAGACTCAGCTTTGCTTTCAGTTGGTGGAGAAAATTTGACCGACTACTGGTTTTCTTTTTAGTTATAGAAATGAGGATTTGTATTCCACTCTTCTCTATTTCCTGTTGAGTTTCTCTAAATATTTAATGGCTTGCATTGCATGTATGCTACAAATTTGCCCTCTCCACCAACATTGTTGTCATTTTATAGTATCGTACATTTTATTAGCAAATTTTCTGCTTGGTATATTTGTGTGATATTTTCCAATGGTCTAAGGATTTGCTTGTTGCATCTTGAGTTGAATGTAAGGTACACTATTTGCTCCTCATATGTCAAGCATCTAATGATTTCTAGTATACTTTTATGGGTTAGTTTTTCATCCTACTTGTCAACTTGGTCAATATGGACTGTTGAAATGCATGTCACACGTTCACCTTTTTAAGTCAGCCTATTCACTATTTATTTCCATTTTTGCAATTTTGTTCTCTCCTTCATTTGAGAGACCAGATCCCCGAGGATTTAAAGATGGTGAACCAAATCAGAGATGTCTTTTTTGCACTTCAAGATTCAGTGGGGTGTACTCCTAGCGAAATACATTGTGCTATGAGAAGTTCCTCATGTCTGGTAGCTCTCTCTCTCCCTCTCTCTCTCTCTCTCACACACACACACACATGTAGGGAAGTTTGTCATAAAATCATTATAAAAAGCATCTTATGGTGCTCTTTCTTTTGCCCAGTCGGATATATCTACAAGAAGTTCAGGTTCTGGGATTTTTCATGATAGCATAAGCAACTTAGGTAGACCTGTAAACAAGGACAAGACAATTATTTGTACTCCGACAATTCCATCAATTGAAAAACCTGCTGATCATTCTTACCTTATTCCACTGCCTGGTGATTTACCAAAAATGACAACTGAAGTGATCAATAAAGATGGAGGACTTGAATTATCAGCATCCGGGGGTGATGAAAGTGCTATCCTACAATCAAGACCTGAAGATTTCCTTCTGGGGCAGCAGAAACAAGTATGGAAAAGATTGCATATTGAGAGGAGGTGTGAAGGGGAGACTAGTGGCTTGGGGTATCTGGGAGTGGGTTCAGAAGACCATGATACTCGATCCTCAAACAATTCCTTTAACAAAATTAATTTTTATAATGTTACACTTTGCTGATGATTCTGGGGTGGATATTACTTACTTGCAAGAGGATCTCCTTGCCTCTGCAGCTTGCAATAATCAAAACGGGATGTTGTGCATACCAGAACCTTTTGGCATGCAAATCTTGAGAGACTTGGAGAACATGGAATTCCAAGAGATTAATAAAATGGAGCCACTGAATATGCCCTTCAAGTTTTCTGCTGACTGTGAGCTGTATGAAGTACTTGGACCAGCTTTTCAAAAACAGAATAGTTACTGTGATTGGGAAGCAGAAAAGACTCAGACTGAAACTGAAATAGCTATTGAGATGCCTGAGGCAATGGACAGTAGTAGCCTGTTGACGGCAGACTCTGGCTCGGAGCATCTTCTGGAAGCAGTGGTAGCTAATGTTTGCCGTGGTGGAACTGATGTCAAAAGTGAGAAATCATTCTGTGAATCAGTGAAGTCCCTGTTGACTACTGAAAATATGCCACAGCCAACCTGTGATAAGCTTACTGTTGGTTCGGCGGTTGGTTCATTTGATCAGTCTTTCGTGGAAAAGGAGGCAATGCACTGCTTGAGCTCTGAAGCATGTGGTGTGAGCTCTTCAAAAGGGTTTTCATCAAGGAGTCATAGTACGTTTAGTGGACAGTTGGACAGTGCACAAGAACCAGCTAAGACGAATAAGAAGAGGGCCAGACCTGGAGAAAATTGCAGGCCTAGGCCAAGGGACAGACAATTGATCCAAGATCGCATCAAGGAGCTGAGAGAGCTTGTACCCAATGGATCAAAGGTAACTTCCAGAGTCCAATTTCTTCTCTGGATTTTGATGTTGTGTTTATTGTAGTCTCTCTCTCTCTCTCCCCCCCCAACCCCCCCCCCCCCCCAAAAAAAAAAAAACCACATATTGAATACGTGCTGAAATTTCTGGTTTATGCCACAGTGCAGTATTGATTCACTTCTGGAGCGCACAATCAAGCACATGCTCTTTATGCAAAGCATCACTAAGCATGCTGAGAAACTAAAAAACTGCAATGTGTCAAAGGTAAGGCTTGACATTGAAACAATGCACTGATTTATGGACTTCAACTATGATTTTCCTGATAATTTATTGCTGATTCTGCAGTTGCGTGACAAGGAAATGTGTGTGCGAGGGTTACCCATTTTTGATCAGGGTTCAACCTGGGCAGTGGAAGTGGGCAGTCACATGAAAGTTTGTCCAATAATGATAGAGAATATCAACATGAATGGGCAAATGCTGATTGAGGTATGGTCTTGTCAGACATATATGAAGTTGCTTCAGAATTAAAAAGAGAAGTGAAATGAGAAGCCACTCATAATGTAATGTGGTTTTAATTGAGCCTATCCTCCTCAGGGAAAATCCTGTCTATTACTTCTGATTCTTGGTATAACATGGAGTCCTGCTTGATCCATGCAGATGTTGTGTGAAGACAGCACCCATTTTCTTGAAATAGCAGAAGCCATTAGGAGCTTGGGTCTGACAATTTTGAAAGGTGTAACGGAAGCCTGTGACAAGAAAACCTTGATGTGTTTTGTGGTTGAGGTACGAGCCTAATTGTGGATGAAATACATACCTAGTAAGGAATTCAATCGCATGTTTTTATCCTGAGGATGAGATATCTGAATAATTTAGGCTTGAAATGCTTTTTCTTGTTCTGATACTTTGTTGCTTTCTTCACTTTTCTTGTCATAGCTTTTAGGCTTCATTTGGATGGACGGATTTAAATGAAGGGATTTGAAGTTGAATTTTAGAATTTTAGAAGATGATTAGTTATTGAGGTAGATGATAACTCTTAAAGTGGAAGATTGAATGTAGATATGTTCCATGTATTTTGTTAAGCTCCTTTTGTACAAGTAGAATCTTTTATGGGACGGTTTCAAATAGCAGTTTTTACGAAGTTATTTGAAATCCATCATTGTGAAGCTTTCAAATCAATTCTTAATATCTAAATCTAAAATATTACATTGACTTAAAAGGCTACATTCCTCAAATTATTGATGTCAAATCCATTCATTTTAAGCCCATAAATCCAAAGGGAGCCTTAAAATAAATTCTGTATGAATGCTCACAACTTGTTTAACAGTCATGCACACTGGGGATTTTATAGTTGTATAATACTTGTTCTGTATGATGTAGCTATAAATACCTTGTCATGGGAAAAACCATCTTAATTAGTTCATTGGAATATACAAAGAGTAGTATAATCAAGTTAATATATGTACTTTGGTCACCTGTGGCGTGCTATTAAAATATCCATATCGGTCAACTGTTGAAACCCTGCTGTTCATGCCAAATTACATAGTAAACTATTTAAAATAAGATAATTATTGAAATTTTTAACTTGTTCCAAGCATGTTTTAAGAAAAAAATTGGAAAAAAATCCTTTCAAAGAAAAACAGAGTTAATGTTGAATCTTCAGCTGATTCAAAATTTTGAAATAAGCATAAGATTTCATGCCTTTCTGCCACAGTCGAATATGTTGCAAATGATTTACTTTATGTATCATTAATAATCAATAGTTTTTAATTTGATGATAATTGCAGGGGCAGAACAGAAGCATGCATCGGGTGGATATATTATGGCCACTTGTGCAGATATTGCAATCCAAGACGACAATTTAGGGGTGCAACTTTTACTTGTGAGTAAATTATGAATGAAAAATTTTCCCAGGAACAGAAGGACATAGTGCAGATATAGCAATCCAGGACTCCATTCTGAGGGCTGTGGCTCTGCAAGTTTATAAGATTTTCAGGTGGGCTTCTCCTGATTATATTACGAGTCATCTGCAATCTCATCCGTCAGCTGATAGTGCTCGAAAGAGTTCCCTTTTCTGGTTTTAGAAAATGTGTGGAGTCGTTTTTGTCTTTTTGTTTTGTTTTGCTTGGTGGATTTTATTATTATTATTAATTTTAAAAATAATTTTTGCCTGGTTGTTAATTTGCATTTGTTCAGAAGTTTGATGCTTCTAATAATTTATGTTACTTTCACTAACAATTCTGGACATCTGTTCATGTCTGATGTAACCCTACTTTTTTTGTACTCATGAAATGCACTTTTAACCTTTAAATTCAAGACCCAGACACCGTAATTAAACAAACTTGCCTGAAAATTGAACTAGAACTGAACACAATGTCATAAAGATAAGGTAATCAGCAATATTACACACCAATTATAGATTTTTAAGTATTTTTGACTGCAGATTGAGTTATGCCGTACTTTTAGATCCATCAGTTGCCAGGGGTCATTCTAGCTTATAGTGAAGAAGGGCTGAGGTACCTTCTAGTCCTTTTGATTTGTAGTAAGCTTGATATTCATTGTGATGAGTTTTCCTGTATATAGGTGGATTGTTTTGGGATAAAAACTCCTCTATTGGCCCATATAGTCTAGATTTACTAGCCATGCTTGGGTAGAAGAAACATGCTGCTGATATCCTGGGTCCAACCCGTCCTGCTAGTACTCTGTGCTCTACGCTTTTGAACTTGTCATTGGTGATAAGCTACAGAAATAAAAAAATTAGGTTTCCCTATTAAAAAGAGGAAAATATATTCATTAACTGAAAACTTTACCTGCATAAGATCCCCAATGTTTGCTATTAGGGCCCCTTTCATGGGTACCACATTGACCCAATTATTTTGATGAAAAACCTGGAGGCCACCTATGTGGTCCTGCAGGAGTATGGTTAGGAAAGACGGGTCTGAGTGCTTGCTCGCACCCAGAGTCAGGTCTGGCTCGGGGCAGAAGGGGTAATAGTGGCATACTAATGATGCGGTTTTCATGCAATCAAGGTCTGTTAGGTAGTCACTACTAAGCCCTAGTGCCTGTGATAGTAATTTCGAGAGTGTCTCCTTTAGTCTGATCAAGCCTTCCATGTAGTTGCTGATTGCTTTTCTGCATATTATCCAAACATAATTAACAAACAAAACACCATAGGAACACAAAAAAAAAAAAAAAAAAAAAGAAAAGAAAAGAAAGAAAGAAAGTTGGATACCTGCAAACTATCGGTAATGTGTCAGAGTCAAGCACACCGTCGTCATAGATACACACTATTGAATCCCTCCAATTTGCAGTTTTTGCAACTAGAAGATCACCATTGCAGTAAAACCGTACTCGTTTCTTGGCATCGCGGGAGTACCACTCCATCTTTACCTCCATGGGTTGCTCATGGAATTGCTTAATCCCTTCTATCATCTCTTCCATGACACCATCGGGAATTCCATGATTAACCATTTGAAAGAATCCCCATGTTTCCGATGCTTTTCTGATTTCCCGGACAATCTCTCCTCTTGGATGACTTCTAAAGCCGCTAAGGTCTATCACTGGAACCTGGAGAACACCACTGTTGTCAGACAATCCCTTTTCCAGGCTTTCTGGCGGATGGATGAAGATTCTGGGGACCTTTACCACACCGGCATCTAAGAGTCCTTTGACACCAGCTTTCGTTTCATCAAACTCCTTCACCTCTTTTGCTCTATCGTAGTCTGATTCCTTACATGTGGCTTCCCTGGAGTCAGGCGCGACTTCAGGCTTTGTGGTCATGGATGTTGATTAGGGAAACAAGGTACGCTTTTGAAAATTTGAGCACCTGTTGGGGAGTTTACATAGGGCTGAGAAGAGTACAAGATGCTTTAGGTTGATTGAGAAAAATGGGAAACCGGGACCTCAGAGAGAGAGAGAGAGAAACAAGTTGGGCAAAAGAGGCCAAGAGAGTGAGATACCGATCTCGGTCTTTTTCAGAACTCGATGAAATATCAATTCACCGCGAAATGGAAAACTAGGAACGACAAAACAAGCTCATTTGGAGCCTTTATAGGCTTCTTAGATTTGTCTTGCTTTCTATATCAAAAGTAGGTTACATGACTATATGGGCGTGTTTGATTGGGGGGATTGGAGGAGGGACTATCTACTATTTGGATTACAATTCAAATAGTGTTTCTTATCCGTCGTTTGATTTTTTTTAGTCCGCCGGACTCCATGTCCCCCATATGGGGGACTATTGTGTCCTAGGGGAGGTGGGATAGAATGTGGGGGACTATTCACTGTTGGGATTAGATGCAAAAATGACCATTTTGACCATCTACTATTTAATTATGTATTATATTTAATAAAATTCAATAAAATTTAAATGTCTCAATTTAAGAATAAAATAATTTTATTTAACTTTTTATTGATGTTTTATTTATTTAAATTTTTAAAATAATTTTTTATAGATATTTTATTGATGTTTTATTTTAAAATTTTGTTTATAATTTATTTAATTTCATTATTTAAATTTAATAGATGTTTTAATAGATGTTTTATTTAAACAATTAAATGTTTAATTTCAACAATAAATAATTTCATTTATTTAAATTATGTTTTATTTAAACATTTAAACATTTGTACATCAACATGTTTATTAAATTATTTCAACATCTGTACATCAACATGTATATTTATTTAACATCTATTAAATTATGTTTTAATACGTCAACATTTGATTACATCTACATTTGTTAATTGTTAATTACATCAACATTTGTTAATTGTTTAAACATAATCTGTACATCAAAATAATTTCAATGTTAATTGTTTAAATAAAAATTTAAACATTTAACCATTAGTATGTTTAAATTCTTTGTGAGTTAGAGAGTTTGGGCTTTGTTTTTGTCTCTCTTCCTTCTTTACTTGGGGAAGATATGTTTAATATTGCTATTACTTAGTAAACAATTGAAAAAGGGTAAAATAGTCTTTTGTTCATTTATCTTATCCAGTCCGTCCAACTAAACGTTGGATTCATTAAAAATAGTCTTATCCAGACATTTAATCCCATGAAAAAACAAACACAGGATACATATCCAATCCGACCAAATAGTCCGGAGGATTCACAGTCCCAAGACTCAAGTCCGATGGATTCTAATCCCCCATTTTTCAGTCCGTCCAATCAAACCACCCTATATGCCTACGCAAATAAGACACAAAAGAAAGGGCTATTTATGCAGGCTTCTAAACCTGACTACAGGTTCGAGGATTGGTGTCTTGTTAGCCCCAGGTCTAGCAGGGACCTCTATTTTTCTGTGGATGGTACGGTATGGTAGTAGCTGAGGACTGCTTCCCCATCGGATTCCAATGAAGCATTGAAAATTGAAAATTGAATATATTTTAATATTTGATCACCTTAAATTATTAAATTTTTTTTTTTTTGTGTGTGTACGTGTCCCATATTTTGAGATTAAGGTTTTAAACTAATTGAATTGTTTATGAAGGGTTTGAACTTAGCTTGGTTATGCTCAGCTTGTTTAGTAAATGAATAAGTTGGAGCCTTATTTATAAAGCTTGACCATGACTCAGCTCAACTAGGCTCGTGAGCTTGGCTATTTAATCAAGTTGAGATATAATTTTGTAGACATGATAAGGATATAGGGCATGCATGCATGCCACACACATAAAGCATGGTTGTCCAAAAGTGAGTTCTTTTGGTAACATATTGCTCAATAAATCTTACACAAATCTGACCATAAAATTAACTATCAAAAATATGAGTGAAACAATCAGGATGAGAATGTTTTTTATTATGGTAGGCTTTCACTTAGTGATATGTATGGATTGGATTATTTTATGTGATTGATTCTGTGATCGGTTATGTGTCTGTAGATTGTATATAACCAACAACTCTTCCTCTCTACTTGAGCTCATTATTGGTGGAATAAGCCCTCCAAATTTTTGATCCGAGGAAATTCATAAATTTCAATCTATGGCCTATTTAGTATAATTTTTAATAAATTGAAAGTTAATAATTAAAAAGTAGAATAAAAAAATATCTCTTTCCTTACTTCTTAATAATATAAATTTTTTAGCTTATTTACTTTATTTTGTCTCATAAATATTTTGGCATAAAATTTTCAAATAAAAAAAGAAGTTATAAGCAGTTTCATAAGCTATCTTTATGCCAATTATTACCCATAACTTGATCTACGATTATAAAAATAGAAAGAATTACAGAAATATGTATAGTATCAAATACATATGAAAACTCAAGCAATTCGTCGATAATAATTTTCAAGTAAATATATATATTGAATGTTTCAACTAATGTGATAGATTCTATAATTATAATTATCATAAGCAATCTGATGTTTTACTATATGATTGAGAATTAGCTGTGTTGCATTAAGAGGTCTCAAGCAAATGGAATTATTCCATTTCGATTTTTTGCATAGTCAAAAGAAAAAAAAAAAACTCATCCACAGGAATATAAAGTGATTTCAAAGAATGGAGATGAGCAAAAGAGATGATAAAATATATTTTTTATAGAATGATGAATTCTCTAGAAGTACTCTTAACAAAGAAATACTACTTCCAAGTGTTTAGAACCAAATTATGGCTCACTTCAACTTATTCACCAAATATAAATAAATAAATTGAGATTCTTGATCTTTTGAAATTTACGTTTTCTCAAAGGCACTGGACTTGGTTTCCATGCTGGTGTGGCTATGGTGACAAGCTCAGAAAACCAAAAGCAGAAAATAAATCGGCTGTGATACAGAGATTTACATAATAAAATTAAAAAAAAAAAAAAAGAACAAATCATAATGAAAAAAAAGACAAATTAAAACTTCGAAACATTTTTAAAAATAAATAGGCACTCAAAACAAGTATATGTACCAAAATTAGGGATGAAAAGGGAAGAAATCAAGATTTCTGATTTTAAAATCTATCACCACCGCGTGTGGAATCTGGCAAAAGAAGTTGATTTGAAAAGCTGGTAAAATACTGTTTTTGATTTTTTTTAATATTTATTTATAATGTCACGTCACAATCAAATAATTAAAATATTCCTATCCAATTTAGTAAATTTATGTTTTTGCCCATGTATAACATGAAAGGTATAATTATAATTTCACATGTAGCTTTTTTGAACCTTCCCAATGACTTCATGCTAAAAAAATAGGGGTGCTCGTGGTTCGATTTTGGAAGGTTCGGTTTACAGTTTGAAACCACCGGCATATGTGCGGTTTAGAAAAAATTGAACTTGCAATCACCTGTAGTGCGAGTTACGGTTTGTGCGGATAGGGTTTGAGGATGTGCGGACGGGTTGCAGATTGGACTTTTTTCTTTAAAAATTTATTTTCTAGCCATTTTTTTCCTCCCGTTTTGTAAATATTTATTTTGGTCCATTTTCCTCCCATTTTCTAAAATGCTCAACATTAATAATTAATGAATTAAAACTTATAAAATTAAAAACACAACAAAATCAATTCCTAACATAAACAAATCATTCAAAATCTTAAACTAAATCATCAAAATCATAAACTAATACAAGCACATCTTTTAAGATCCTAAACTAAAATCATTAAAATCATTCACTACCAACAATACAATTAAAGTAAAATCATTCAAAATTCTAAACTTACCTAAAAGTAATTTTGTATTAATTTTTGCATTCATCCAAAATGTAATAATATAATAATAATAAATTATTATCAAACTTCATCCATTTCAAATCCATCAAACAAAATAAAAATATTTACAAACTCACAAACTCCATCATAAAAATAATTTTTTTTTTTTTTTACAAAAAAGAAAAAAAAAAGTCTAAGTGCAAGCGGGTTCTTACGGGTGCAAGTAAAATCAACTCACAATAATGTCATATTCCAAATTGTATCTATCTATATTGTGTTTGCGACATCACCCATTTATACACGGATCAATTCAAATTAAACAAATTATGTAATTTGATTAACTCTATATTCAATCCTACTAAAACATTCAATCTAACTTTTTACTCCCAAATTATAAAACGCAATTTTTAAACTTGGCTCCAAATGGGCACTACAATACCCACCAGTGCTCATCAAAGCACCTAAGGGAATTGAGATTTGAAACCTTCTTTCTATTTGAATCAGAAAAACTGCCTAATTGATAAGACATACTTATCAATCTAATCCACCGTATTCATTCAAGAAATTGACGGGTGTAATGATTGAGAGTAAGGTTGTACAAACAACAATGATTCATCCCACTAAAAATACCACCACTAATAGCATTAATGCATTAAAAAAGTAAAAAAAAAAAAAAAAATACAACTCCAAGACCAAAACATCACATCATTAATGACGGGACCCACTGCCACCTAATTAGTGGGAGCACTAATTAGTGCTCCCAAACATTTTTCGTTGTACAAATAAATCGTTATCTTTTTAAACTAAACGTAAATAAAGAATGGATCTGCCTTTCCTCTAATCTTAAATTGAATTAGAGGGTATTATTAAGTTTGTAGGAATTTATTGTAGGTCACGTTTGTAGGTCTCGTTTTGATAATTCGAATCGTTAAATATGTAGAACTTGTTGAGTATTATGTGCCTGTAAAAAATCACGTTGATTGAATATCGATAGTTACGTGATCAAATCAGTTTTGTGTAAAACAAATGGATAGTAAAAAAATAAACGGTTGAAAAAAAATCTGATCGGATGAACTAGCTATTGATATCCGATCAGTGTGATTTTTTACAAGTATATAGTACTCAACGAGTTCTGCACATTGAACAATTCAAATCATTAAAATGGAACTTGTGATAGGCCCCTACGGGTCCAACAATTTCCTCCAGTCCCAGATTGGACTGGAGTGAAGCCAGTCCCATAAATTATTACTCAATATACATATGTGATATCTAGAGGGGAAAAAATAGTTATTAGAACATCTCTAATGATGCATTAATTTTTTTATCAAATGTGAGTAACAATTTTTTTGATATCAAGTGCTCCAACGGAGAGTTTTGGCTTTTAATTAAACTATTGGTCGATTGAGC